TCTGAGTTAGGTGGAAGTAGACTACTTCGGTTAATTCGTTGCTATAATAACAGATGTGTGTGTGTGTGTGTGTGTGTGTGTGTGTGTGTGTGTGTGTGTGTGTGTGTGTGTGTGTGTGTACGCGGTGAACTAGGTTAATGTGATATTTGGTCTTTAGTTAGAGACTAAGCTTATACAGTCCTGCAGTGTTAAATGGATTGATCATATAGGCAACCAGCTGCTGTCGCCACACACACGTGTATCAATACATCCCCTATAGATGCACATAATATAGACACATCTGGATCTGTGCATAATAGATTCTGATGTCACCCAGTGCCTGCTCTGCTTTACAGTAAGTCATCATCATAAAAACCATTTGTCACTGTATGAGACCTTCCTGCAAATGCAAGTTTAGACACATTGATGACACACACACCACACACACACTGATACAAACATTCATGCAGACATCACTGCTGACACACACATATACATTTCATCCTGCCTGTGAACTGTCCCAAACAAACACCAGATGGCTTTTCTGTTCCTGGACTGGGTGGCCTGTCAGCACTGCTGAGGGGGGGCACAAAGGAGGGGGCGTGCGGGAGTGGGAGTGGAAGTCAGCCTGCTGGAGGCCCCCACTTGGCCAAGAGGATTACCAGCCTGTGCCTTGCTTCTCATCCCCTTTCAGCACATCGTGAGTCACTTTCACTAGGATCAGACCTCTGTGCAGGTTTCCCAATTCGAATGTGAGATGTGTTGGCCTTCACACGGTCACAGTACAGATGAGATATCGGTGGTAAAAAGGGATAAGAGAGGGGTTTTCATGTTGCATAATCATGATTCAATTTGGAAGCCCTTTGAGGTGGCGAAGAAGCTTTTGGGTGCAAGGAGGGAGACAGTAAAATGTAACAACTGTCTGTGTGGCTCTTGTTGAAGTAACAGTGTTTAACATGATACTAATGCTATTATTGCCAACATTATCAGTAATGTGAACCTGACAACTGGGACGTAGTCCAAACCAAAGGCAGAAAATCACCACAACTGAAAAATTATAGACTCAGAGTAAATTATCTGGAACCAGTGTGTTAACAAAAGTGCAAATTCTCTGGCTCTGGCTCTTTAAATTGGAGTCTTTTCAGACTATTCTGATTGTTCTGTAAACAATGTCTGTGGGATTAGACTGCTAGTCAAACAAAAGCATGACATGTCTTTAGGCTTTGGTAACTTGTGATTGGTATTTTTCACTGTTAGCTGACATTATAAACCAATCACCCTCGAGAAGACAGAAAAAAAAATATTGGGGTGGCAATCAACTGGCAAGCAGTCAAGTTCAGTTATTCCAAAATAGAAGTGGTAATTTAAATCAGCATGATGGCATCAGGAACTTTTTTAATTTTTTTTACTTGAATCATTGCTGTTCACAATGATTTCAAATTCTGTACCTGTCCTCCAATTTTAGAGCCATCAGAGCCATGAACTAAATAACTAAATAACGTGTCTGAAGGAAAAATATGCTTATATTTCATATTAGCAGCACTGGTATTGCTATATTGATAATGCATCACTAGCATATGCACTGCCACATACTTTCATATCATTTGTCTATCTGTCATCTACTTGCATACACAAGCAGCTGTGGTAGGTTAGAGGTACTTGTCTGGCGGTGTGTGATCAGCTGTGTGATTCATTCGCAGTGTGTCAGCAGCACATGTTTGAACTTACTTTTTTATGTTTTAGTGTTTGTTTGTGTGTGTGTGTGTGTGTGTGTGTGATAAGGAAGAACATAATAAAGATGGCTGACAGCTGTGATAGATGAAGGCTGTATCAGTCATTATTAAAGACAGAGGTGCCACTTACACATTCTTTTGGCAGGCAAATCTTATATTGGCTTATTTATGCTGCTGAGTTTGCAACCAGGTGTGTGTGTGTGTGTGTGTGTGTGTGTGTGTGTGTGTGTGTGT